CAGGGCTCCATTCCACCCGAGGGTCCTCCTGGCTGTTGCAGTTCCCTCCTGCTCCTCCCAGCTGCTGCCTCTCTGCCACCCCAGAGCGTGGTCCTCTGAGGGCCCTTATCTAGGGGAGGCCAGCTTTCCTGCCTGCCTGCCTGTTCTCCTGGGCCTCTGTATTTCCAAGGTCTGCCATCAGCCATATTTTACCTCTGATCTCTCCAGATTTCCTACAGCAGGGAAAGAACAAACTTGGCAAGGTACTGGAATCAGAGGAGAGCGCGCACTTGGTGTTAGCCATTTTCCTATCCCTGGGATAAAACACCTGACACTCACAACTTAAGGGAGGAGTTTCCTTTGACCCGAGGGTCTCGAGGGTTCAGTCCATGGTTGGTTGGCTCCAAAGTAGAAACAGCACGGTGGAGAAAAGTTGCTCAACTCACAGCAGCAAGGCAGCACCGAGAGAGAAAGGAGGACCAGGGCACAAGAAGACCCGACCAGGCCCCACGTCCAGTGACTCAGCTCCCCCAACCAGCCCTTCCTCACAACTCACCAGTGATGAACCCCCGACCCTGCCACCTTCCAAGAGTCCCACCTCTGCACACAGGAGGCTTTTGGGGAGCACTCTAGGCCTAAACCGTAACACCCCTCCAGCTGGAAGAAAGCTGTTTGCATTTTCCTGCAAGCATGCCATGGCAGCGTACTTTAGCCAGAGGAATGTGAGCATTGAGTTCACCTTAGCACTTTGAAATGGAAGTGTCTCCAAGGCCAGCTGCTTCCCTGACCCTCTCAGAGGCCCTGAGAGGTTTCAGTGGGAGACCGAAGTGGAAGGACAAATCCAGTTGACGCTGGACTTGAACTTCATGCCCACCACAGAGACAGAGGGCAGGGCCTTCTCTGCCTTTGTCACCTACTGGGCTGAGCTCCCGTGTTGGGTGCTCATGATTTTTCAGGGAGAAATCTCAGAACAAGGACTGGTCTAACTCTAATTTCCCCAGACCACAGCATCTAGGGCCAAGAAAGGACTTGCATGACAATCCCACTGTGACCTGTCCCCGACAGCCATCCAGACTGTCACCTTACCCAGTTATTCTCCTCACGCTCAGGTGGGATTTTATTTTCGCCCCCTTGTGCCAAGGTCCTACTGCACATCTGATATTCCTAAAATAAGGACATTCCTTAGTCATTGCAGGTCTGTCAGCTAATGGGTTTCTTATCTTGAGCTTCCTTATGGCTCAAGGTGCCCTTGAAGTTTTCAGCATGGCTGTCAAAGGCCAACAGAGCCCAGAGTGGAGCCAATATGAGTGGGTGGAAGCCACGGGTAAGCACTGAGAAGCAAGCAGACAGCTCCATCTGGATGAGGCTGATGTGACAACCCAAAGCCCAGGGCAGTCTTAGACCAGAAGTCCCGAGGCTCAGGAAGAAGCAGGGGGGCGGGGGGCTTCCTAACGGCGGCCAGTGCACATGTGAAAGGCACAGGTGACGGGCCCCGGTGCCTGGCAGCCCGCTCTCCTGTGTGCAAGTAACCTACCGTGGATGACGACGGCTTCCTCTGATATTCTCAGTGGGCTCCGATGTCTCAGATCGGTAAATCCACCAGCTTAGAAACGGAAACATTAAGCCTCTGAGTTCGATCCTCGGTATTGCAGAAACATCAAGCATGTTGGGGCAGCTCCCCTCACGATGCAGCAAGGCATTTATGCTCCAGGGCTTACTAGCAAGTGACTGTGCCAGCGGTCAGGAAGCTGCATTTGTCAGGGCGGTTTTGGATTACAGATGACAGAAGCTCTATAGAGAGTAGTGTAGGCTGTTTCTCAGGAATTTTGTTATTTAGTATAAAATATTTCTTAGATAGTGAAAACTCATGTTTTAGAATACATGGTGCTTCCTAAAGGCTTGTGTGTTGGAAGCTTGGTGCTCGGTGTGGCCTCTAAGAGGTGAGGCCTGGTGGGGAGCTCTTAGGTCACTGGGGCGTGAGCTTGGGGGAAAGCACAGATCCCAGGGATGCCAGTCTCACTCTGGCTTCCTGTCTCATGATGTTCTCTCTCTCTCTCTCTCTCTCTCTCTCTCTCTCTCTCTCTCTCTC